CATGTGTGTTGCAAAACAAATTGCGGGTGCATGGGTGGGATGTTTGCGCGAGCATGGGTTGTGGTCACGAGCGAGACACTCAAAGTCAAGATCACTGCACAGACTGCGCCGCGTAGAATGGTTCACGACTAGTGTGCTACATATATATATATAGCACACTTTAGATTGCACAAGGAATATGGCACACCGTGTATGGTACAACGTAGAGTGCCCAACATAGAACGTGCCACCTAGAGTGCATTGCATACAATGCTAGAGATGCGCTGTTCTGCGCCCGGGCAAACTAACATATATCATTGAATAAACAGCAGAGCGAGTTGAGGGGGTAAAGCAAACAAATCTATTAGGAATCCCGAGTAGAACGAGGGATATAGAGAAAGAGAAGGAGCAAGCGAGAGAAAACGAGATACTCATAACTGCATAGAGAGAACACGAATAGAGAGAGAGAGGGACAACGCGAGGGAAGACGTACTTGCGACCATGGTCAGGGTGATGCAGGAAACGTAATACACACTATTGGTACATATCTGTCCGCCAAACGAAATTCTGCACAACAAGAGATATACCTATATGTGTATAGGTACAAGATGAACTACAGAGAAAGGAAGACAACATACGGCGTACTTGTGACCACGGCGAGGATGGTATAGAATGCAACGTATACGCTATACGGTACATGTCAGCCAATCAACATACATTCCGTGTATATGGATATGGAGCGAACGAAAGGAATATATATAGAGAGAGAGAGAGAGAAACAACGAGAGAGAGAGAGAGCGAGAGACGGAGGGAGAGAGAGAGAGAGAGAACGAGAGGGAGAGAGAGAGAGAGAATGAGAGAGAGAGAGAGACAGAGAGACCGAGATAGACAGAGATAGAGCGAGAGATATCGACAGAGAGAGAGAGAGAGAGAGATAGACATATACTGTTGCAGAGAAATGAATTCCGTCACCGCGCCCTGAGGCACGAGTTGGAGTATCCTCAGGTCCCTTCGAATTCTCTGCGTTGGATCCTTTAAACAGTCTTGGAGGGGCCCAAAGCCTGGAATTTCGGAAACTCTCGGGCGTTCTTGGGCGATCCCGGGCGCTCTCGGGGGTTCCCCGCGTGACTTTACGGGAGGCCAAGGGGGCGTTGCTCGCAGCCCGCAGCCCTGCTGGGCGCCTCTTGGGCCGTGTTAGAAGCCCTGGAGGGCGGCCCAAGAAACCAACACCGCCAAAATCGATTGGGTGTCCCATGGTTTTCGCGCTACCCCGCTTTCAACCTGCAGAGCGTCCAAGACGGCCCAAACGGCGCCCAATATCGCCCGACAACAGCCCAAGAGCCCCCGAGAGGAGCCCAAGAGCCCCCCAAGACGGCCCCAAGAGGGGCCCGCGATGGGGAACACGGCCCGACAGTTCGAGCCTTTCGCCCCAAGATGGCCCCAAGATCCCTCCACAGGCCCCCGAGGTGCGCCCAAGAGTTTCCAAGACACCCCCAAGAGACCCCGAAAAGCCCACAGTAGGCCCCAAGAGGCCACAAAGACGCCCCCAAACACCCACAGAACCACCTCCAAGAGGCATCCGACAGGCCTCCAAACAAATCCTCATAAAGGCGTCCGGCCTACAACCAAGGCGCGGTGGCGGGACGGGCCGAAGGGCACTCGGTACAGAGCAAGTTGAGAGGGTAGGTAGAATGAACCTGGTGCAAGCGTGTACATTCCTTCTACCTATGAAATTACAAGGGGAAACCCCACAGGTCACCGGCACCCCCCCACACATCCCCCCCCCGATATGCGCCCCACGCCCTTCCATTGGTGATCCCAGGGGCCCCTCCCGCAGCCTCCTCCGAACCTTTCCTGGGCCTCCACCCTCCCCAAGACGCCGACAATTGGCCCAAGGCGGCCCAAGAATCCGCAAAACCAGCCCTAGAGCCTGCTAGGACGCCTGCCGGGAGGAGCGAAAGTGACTAAAACCAATGGTTGTTTCTAGGTTTCGATCCTTTCTCGACTTTCTGGGCTCCCCAGTTTTCGCACGCTCCGACACGGCCCAAAAGGATTGCAGAACCGCCACAACGCAGTCCCAGACACGGTCCACGACAGCCACAAAGATGCTCCCCTGATGGACCACAAGCTCCCATGGTACCCCTTCCGCAGCCTCCTCCTAGCCTTTCCTGGGCCTCCACCCTCCCCAAGACGCCCGCGATGGCTCCACGGCGGCCCTTGAAATCGCAAAAACAGCCCTCTACCATACTAGGACGCCAGGGCGCCTCCCGGGATAAGCCAAAGTTGTCAAAAACAATTGTTCTTTCTCCACGGGTCTTTGTAGTTTCTCACCTTGCTGGCCTCAGCTGTCATGCGCTCCGAGACGCCCCAGTAGCCTTGCAAACCCGCCCCAACACAGCCCAAGAGACTCCTAGCACGGCCTGCGCGAGCCCCGAGACTTTCCACGACCACCCCATGCTCGCCCCAAGATGGCCCAAGACGTTCCCAGGAACGGTCCGGAGGGGCGCCAGGATACCCGAAAAGATACCCCAAAGGCCCCAAGCATACCCCGACACGGCCTTTGCAACCACTCGCCCGATCGCGACGAGCCTCCTAGGCTTCTGTCTACAAGTGGATGAGGTGGAGGCGGAGGAGGAGGAGGAGGAGGAGGAGGAGGAGGAGGAGGAGGAGAACGAGGAGGAGGAGGAGGATGAGGATGAGAAGGAGGAGGATGAGGATGAGGAGGAGGAGGACGAGGAGAAGGAGGAGGAGGAGAGGAGGATGAGGAGGAGGAGGACGAGGAGAGGAGGAGGATGAGGAGGAGGAGGAGGAGGAGGAGGAGGAGGAGGAGGAGGAGGAGGACAAGGACGAGGAGGAGGAGGAGGAGGAGGAGGAGGAGGAGGAAGAGGAGGATGAGGAGATCCCGACTGCGGCTGCCCTGTGGGGGGTGGCGTCCGAAAGGCGGACGGAGGCCCCCAAGCATTCGGAGCTGACGGGAAGTGCAGTTGTCTGCGGGGAACAGAAAAGGGGGATGAAGGGGGGTGTGAGAGGTGGCGCCACGAAAAGTGGACATCAAATTCTGGTTCCCGGAGGCTCGGTGGGAGGTGAAGTGGGGGTGGGACCGGAGGAGGAGAAGGACGAGGAGGATAAGGAGGTCGAGGAGGACGAGGAGGACGAGGAGGACGAGGACGATAAGAAGGTCGATAAGACGGACGAGGAGGACGAGGAGGAGGACGAGGAGGACGAGGAGGATGAGGTGGAGGAGGAGGAGGAGGAGGAGAACGAGGAGGAGGAGGATGAGAAGGAGGAGGATGAGGAGGAGGACGAGGAGGAGGAGGAGGAGGATGAGGAGGAGGAGGAGGACGAGGAGGAGGAGGAGGAGGAGGAGGACGACGACGAGGAGGAGGAGGAGGAGGCCGAGGAGGAGGAGGAGGAAGAGGAAGAGGAAGAGGAGGAAGAGGAGTCGGAGAGACATTCCAATGCCGCATTCTCGCAGCCAGGACACAGCCACACTACCACAGCCCTGACAACAACCACCTGGGATCTCACTGTCGGCCCGCCCCCAGGTCCGTGCACACAAGGAGCCGCGTGGGCCCCGCCTGGACCCCGCGATACACTTATACGTGGCACTTCTAGCGGCATCCCAGCTCAGTGTGGATGTTCGACGCAACGCCCAAGCGCCTGCCAGGTACAAGACCCCAGATTAGAAGGCGAAGCGCAGCGAGCCTTAACATCTTGTGTGTGTATATATACATATGTGAATATGTATGTACATATGTAAATGCATGTGTATATGAACCGAGAGAGAGAGAGAGAGAGAGGGCAACCGTGAAGTGCATGCGTGTGTCTCTCCAAAAAAAGGCAAGCACACACACAAAAGACATGCAGCCGTTGATTTCTACGTGGTAGATGTGTCCCTCTACAAGGCGGTTCTCCGCGTGACTTGGGCGAGGCTGTCTCTGGGATATGCCCCAATGGGGCCGCTTCTCCTCGCCTCTCAGACCCCTCTGGGGCTTGCGCGGGCTATCTCCTTATGTTGCTTGTCGCTTGGCGTCTTGCTCTTTGTCACCGCGAGGATACTGCGCAATCCCAACCCCGAGCAAACAAGACACACGCACATACACATGGAGAAGTGTGCGAGTGTGTATGTGTGTGTGTGTGTGGGGGGAGGGGGGCAGCCGCGCGCGTTTCCCGCGTCTCCCTCGCTGCCCTTCTACGCCCCCGACGCTGCGCGCGAGGCCGCGACGCCAAACAAGTGTGTGTGAGAGAGAGTGTGTGCGTGTGCGTGTGAGCGTGAGTGCGTGCGTGCGTGCGTGTGCCAGTAGGCCCCAACGAATCAGCTAGTGCACAATTGACATGAAGGCTACGCGGAGGAACTGAATTGTGCGATGTCAGTTGTATGCTGTGTGAGCTACGTGGTGCATACTAGGCGGTGTAGGCTGTGCTGTGATAGCCAAGTTGTGTAAGCTGTGACACGCGGCGTGGGCTACATTGCGTCATATAAGCGGGGTGACCTCTGTGGTGTGGGCCTGGTTGTGTAAGCTGTGCGGTGTGAGCTATGTAGCGCAAGCTGTGCGGTGTCAGCTATGTACTGCGGGCAGTGCTGCGCAAGCTACTGTCAAAAACCCTAATAAGGACGCGCGGTAAGGACGCAAGACCCTTGGAAGCCGAAGTCGGGATTTTTGGGGCGGCGGACGACGAACACCTCAAGGACGCAAGAGCAAGGAAGAGCAAGGACGCAAGGCTACCCTGAGCAAAGTCGCGCGTCCTTATTAGGGTTTTTGACTGTATGTGGGGCGCCCACCATGGGAGACCTGGCGAAACCTCGCCTGACCCGCCCAGGACACGAGGCGCCCACGAGGCGCCCGCGGGCGAAAACGGCGCCGAAACCTCGGCGGATCAGCCCATTTGCTCAGAAAGACAAGCGAGCACCCCCAAGTGCAAGCTCTCGTAAAAAGGAAAACACAAGAGAAAGAGAAAGAGAGAGAGAGAGAGAGAAACAAAAAAAGAGATTGAAAGAGAAGGGGGGGTCATGGCTGGGCCTCGTTGTAGAACGCCACCACCTCGTCTTCGGCGCACGAGGGCCTCCACCACCTTAGCAGGAGGAGGGGGAGCAGGAGGGGGGGGGGAGGGATGTCCAAGTCCAGCAACCCCAACCGAGCCCGAAGAAACTGGAGGGGGCCGAATTGCGGGCGCCCCAGAAGAACCCAGGGCGCCGAAACATCAACCGAGAGGCCGGTGAACCGAACAAAAGCCAAGCCACCCAGGCTCTCCACAGACATGGGGGCGGCGTGGCGTCAGCCCGGAGCGGCTCCTCGGACTTCATGTGGGATCGTGTTCCCACTTTTGGGCCCGAAGCCAAGCCGCAAACGCTGCACACTACAGGGCAGTTTTTAATACATAGGATTTTTAGAAATATCGCATATTAAATGCATGATTAGTTTATGAATAAACTTATGCATGAACTCATCTTTGTTTTTAATACTACATCCCTGCATTTTTTATACATGATCCGCACGCGGAGCAGGTATTAAAAACGGCACTGTATACCTGACACTAGAAAGCCTGTGGCGATTCTGGGGCGGCCCGTGACAGCCCAGCGCAAACGTCTTAACAGACTTGCCTCTGGGCAAGCTATAGTGGCCGCGAAACTCGCAGATACCCGCGGAGGCCCAAGAGGCGATCTCGTGCCCATCCCCACGGGCAAGCGGCCCAAGGCACGCCGACGACAAACGGGTCCGATAACTTTGAGGCGTCTGAGCCTCACGCAAGCAAATCTTGCAACGAACCAAAGTCTCACCCGCCTGCACCGGACCATGTTCCGTAATCGTTAGCTTTGGAGCGCGTAGCTTGTATTTTCGGCGGCCGAGGGCCAGGTCCGACCTCACGATACACGCGCACCGCCCTCGACACCAGGAGTGCGAGGTGGCGCGCATTGGTCGTGGCCATATTCAGCATGCTCTTGTGGTTGTCTCCAAACGTCTCTGCCACCTTCACCTCGACCGCCCCACAATATGCAAAGAGGTCCGCCCACCCAAACCCCAAGGAATGCGCCAAACTGCCCCCGTTCGCGAAATACTCGTAGGCCTCCTTGTGGGCAAGGACCCAGTCAAACTGACACGTTTCAGCATCTTGGCAGCACATTTCAAATATAGATCTCCAGATCGGTGCATGCTTTAAGAAGGCTGACGCAAGCGGAGGCGCCCACTTCTTAGCCTTCTCGACGAGCTGCCGTGGTCAGACACGACGAGCTGCCGTGGTCAGACACTTCGAGGGCCGTCAACTCTGCAGATCCCTCGCCCCTCGGCACAGACTTTCCGATAACAAACCCACCATATAGAGCTCGAGCCCGCCATCCCGACAGGGGGCACAACTGGACGGCAGCCCAGCCCATCCTACAGAGCGTAGGATGAACGATATGCAGGGGTGAGACGTCCGTGTAGACCACAGGGCCCCATACCCAACTGGCGTCGCCCCACTCAAGCACGTCCGTCCCAGCGTCTGGCTGCCTCGGTTGCAACGGCTCTCTCGGCAGGCCATCTGTGAATTCGAATGTCTCGCGACCTCCGCACTTCTCACCCACCAACTTACGAAAGATCTGAACTTGACCACGCCCTCTGGGATGGGCTCGGGCATCAACCCCGCAAAGTGCAGCGACTTCTCAGAGCAATTGCACTGATGGGCAAGCGTACCCCTGGAATCTCCACAATACATGCAATCCGTAAATTTAACCAATCCCAAGTCAAATGCCCTGTCTGAACAAAGAAGACATCCAAACCACAACTTACGTATAACACCTCGTCGAAATCCACCTGGTATCTTGAGCACTGCGTTCTGCATAGTCCTGCGCCATATGAGCTCATCTACCATCATTTCAGAGGTGTCTACGAATTCTCAAGACTTGCCAGCAGTAGATGGACTGGACAAGCCTGCTCTCCACATCACGGGGAGCCACCTGGAACAGCGAGTGAATTTGCCCGAGGTCGTCCTCGAAGTCCGTTGGGTTGAGCATCCTCCAGCCCATCCTTTGCAGGGTGAGCCAGACTGAGGACACTGAGCCCCTTGCCATCTGCCAGGTCATCTTGATGCCCGCAAACTTCTCATCAACGTGTTCCCACGCATAGTAGAGCTCCGACATGGCAATCAGAAAATCCCATACGAAGCTAGCATAACTCTTGACCAGCAAGGTCGTGCAATCAAACATTGGGTCCATGCGATGATTTTGTTAAGTCGAAATGTAAAGCGCAAGTGGGGAGAAGGAGGATGGAGCAGGGAGGAAGTAGAGAGGGAGTTGAGGAGGGCGACAAAGGGAGAAGAGCAAAGAATAGATGGGGTCATGGCAAACGTCTGGAGCCGGATTGGACAAGAGGAGGAGGAGGAGGAGGAGGATGGAGAGGGGGGGGGGGCAGGTAAAGGGGAAGGGAGCATGCTTCTCCATTGTGCCCCGACTGTGTCTCGACTGACGTTCGATCGTGCCCGAATCGAATGTAGATGATGTCCCGATGATGTCACGAGAATGGCTTTGGGTGCCCGGGTGTTGCACGAGCACACAGATTAAGCCACATCTCCAAGCTCAGCGACGACAAATCTAACACACGCAACGGTAAGATGTTATAAGCGTCGCAACGGACTTTCTTCAATTCTGAACTCTCACAATAGTGCAAGAGAAACGGCACAAACTAGTAAACACGTTTTGGTTATAGGTGGTTGTGATTTGCTGAAATGTCGACAAGGCCGAATACGCAACAACTGCCGTGTTCCGCGCTGGCAGGAACTAAATCTGAACGTAGTTGGGTGCTGTCCCGTAGTGCCCCGTCGCGACGCCGCAAAAGCCCGCTGGCGTGCCCTGCGGATCCTTGTGTTGCTGGGCTGTGGCGTGCGGGGCCGCGAAGCCCAACGCCAATATATAGCGAAGCTCGAGCCGAAACTACAATGAGTACGTCGAATCGGAAGCAGGCGTGCCAGCAAGTGACACAAAAACAAAAATTACTCCACGATGGCGAGGGGGGCCCACCAATTTTCTGGGGTGCCCCAAGGAATCCTTGATCGATGAAAACGCGTTCAAGAGTGTCTCCTGCGAAGCATGATCTCGTATCGCACGCACCTGCTGTAGAGGCAACAGCTGCAGGTACAGCGGAACCGACAGACACCAGCAACGCGAACAAAAACAACGTAGTCTGACGAACACCAGCGTACAGCAAACGAGCACGTCAGCAAACAGTGAACGTGCCACACGCGAGGTCCCCCTCACCTGAAAACCTCCTGGACGACCAGAGACTCGTGGAACGCGCCACATGCTTGCAATGTGCAATCTGTGCTCATCCACGCAGGCGGAAACAAGAAGGAGCAACAGCAGGAGGATGAGACGCAAGCGCCCTTCGAACAGCTCGACGACGCGCTCCACTGTACAAGCGAAAAGCTGCGGAGGCCACTTAGGGCCCTGTCGCTCGCACTGCCGGGTAAGAACCTAGCAGCAACCTGCGCCCCGGAGACAGGCATCGCTGAGACCGGGCAGATATGTATGGGGAGCGTAAGAACACCGCTACCCCTATCTGGCCACCCTTCCTGGAGGTATTATTGTAGTGCTCATTGTGCGGCATCGAGCCGGACCTCTCTGGCCCAGCCCCAGAAAGGGGGAGGGGGGCCAGGCGGGGGTGGAGGTGCGCTTTCCTCCCCCCGACCCCGATATACAATTATGTCCGCCCGCCCCGTCGCATGACAGAGGTTCATAGCGAATGCGTACCGCAACTAGACGAATCCGCCAGACATACGGTGACCCCACGACCACAGAAATCTTGAAATCACGACGGGCCGGTTTTACAAAGAACTAGCCCGAATCCGCGAAGCTCCCTGGCAAGGCTTGTTCTACAATCGGGCTTGCCCAAAGAGACCTATTCTGAAGACCTGACGTCACATTCGTTCGAAACGACTCGTCCTATGGCCGCCTGAAACAATTTGTTCTTGGAACCCCAGGGCATGAAGTAGGCCTCCAGATCCCGAGACCCAAGGAAAACTTGGCGTCCGTGTCGCAAGAGATCTGGGTGTCTCTTCGGTGCACAGGGCATGGGGCCAGTGTCATGCCGTCCTATGGGCCTGAGGGGACGCTCGGAGCGATCGGCCTCACGGACCTCTTGTCGCGTGAGGGGCAGAGCTCCTGGGCTCCCAAGGAGTCGCTCGAGTCACTCGGCCATTGATGCAATGCTAACCTGTGCTGGGCCATGCTATGCTATGTGCTGTCATGTCACGCCGTGCTATACATCGCTGTGTTGTGCGTGAACGTGCGATAGTATTTGGCATGACACAGCCCTCTGCAGCTGCAGAGAAGAGTGAGGGGGCGGCGGGATCGTCGGCAGTCTGCGGAGGTCTGGAGAAGCCCACCGCAGGCGCCGATATTGAATTACACATTGCCCAAGGAGCCCGCCGCCGGCACCGACTTTTATGCCCTCAAAGCGACGTGGGTGGGTCGCGGGTGGGTCGCTGGGAGGGTCGCGGGGTGGGTCACGGGATGGCCGCGTGGTGGGTCGCGGGTGTGTCGCGGGCGGGTCGCGGGCGAGGACGACGACAACAACGCAACAACGCAACGTAACAAAGCAACAACAATCCACACCGCGGAAACCAACTTCAGCCATGCACCCAGGGACAGTGAATGACCTTTCGGCCCACTCACGCTGATGATTTGCAGGGGTATCGTATGGTATGCCATGTTATGATACGCGGTGGAGTGGAATGCAGTGTTGCGTTATGGTAGATGGCACTGATATAAAACGAACTGCAGAAGCATACCATGATGTGATATACTAAGCTATGCCATTCATGGTATCTCAAACAATTGCACGGTATACTATGCTAGTGCAGAATACGCAATGCTGCAATGGTCTGCTACGCAATGGCATCCATGATATGCCACGCATGGGTATGATCTGCAACCGTCTGAGTTTCCTTCTCATCTTTAGCCATGCGATGAGATCGGCTGCTTCGGTTCGCCATGCATTACTGACTATACGAGATGCCGACGTGCACCACGATGCGCGCCTCAGCGCTGCAACAAAGGCTACGGCACACCATAACACCGACAGGCCTTGCCTGCACAATGCTTGCCCTGATTTGCGCTGCTCAGTGCTTTCGGCTGGTGCCCGGCAGTGCGCGCCTCGTGCGCGGTCGACGGCGAGGCCCGTGCCCGGCGGCAGCCCTCCAGGCCGTGACTCGAGGAGCAGGTGGCGGCGGGCCGCGCGGGGGCGCTGCCCGTCGGGCGGCGCCAGGGCTCGCCGCGACGGGGCCCAGCATGCCGAGCTCGGCGCGGGCGCCGACGCGGTGCCCAAGCGGCGCGCCCGTGGCCCGAGGCGCCGTGGGAAAAAGCGTCCTGGGAGGAGGAGGGCTTGGAGTAGGCGCCGCTCGCCGCCGTCCCGCCCTTCCCCTCGGTGGCCCCGCCGCCCGCGGCGGCCCTGGCGGCGCCCTGGCGGCTTCCGCAACGTGCTGGGGCGATTCTGGGTCGCCGCGCTCTGGGCCCAGAGTCCTGGCCCCGCCGCCCGCGGCGGCCCCGGCGGCTTCCGCAACGTGCTGGGGCGATTCTGGGTCGCCGCGCTCTGGGCCCAGAATCCGGGCCCCGCCGCCCGCGGCGGCTCTGGGCGAGTTCGGCGGGCCCCGGCGCGTGGTGCTCGAGGCCGCCGCCGCCGCAGCCGCCGAGGCTCGCGAGGCGGCCGAGGGCCGAGTCGTGGGGCTCCCGGAGCTCGTCGAGGCGCTCCGGGAGGAGTGCGACGGTCTGAAAGCCTCCCTCGCCGCGTCGGCCGCGGCGCTCGTGGAGGCGGAGGGCCGTGCCCGTGAAGGTCACGGTGGAGCGCGACGCTGTCGTCCTGGAGCTCTTGGAGACCAGGGCGCCGGCCTTGGGGGCTCCAGCGGGCGGCGGTGCACACGACGGAGGTTGGGGTGCCGGCCGGCTCGTCGATGGCGGCGAAGGGCGGCGTGCAAGGGGTTGACTTGGTGGACTCCTCGTCCGAGGCGGCGCCGGAGGGCTTCCAGGAATGCGTCGAGGGCGAGTCCGCGGTGGTCGAGGGCCGCCTGGACGACGGCAGCTCCGACGACGAGGGCGCCCTGCCGTTCGAGCTGGCCGAGCTGCGAGGCAGCCCACAGGTCGTGCAGTTGGCGGAGATGCTCGCGCAGTCGCTGGACTTGTGCGAGTCTGTGCTGGAGGCCTTGGGCCGGACCCAGCCTGCGCTGGAGACCGCGATCAGGCAGAATCCTGGCGCCTTCATGAGGATGGTGCAGTTGGGACGTGAGCATCAGCGGCCTGTGCAGTTGCTGCGGCCGCTCGCCCGAGACGCAGGCCTCGGTTGGAGCGTGCGAGCGAGGCCTGAGAGCTGGGCTGTTGGTATTATGATTCCGTCTGGTCAGTGCTAGGTGGGGGGCATGTTGCCAGAAATTACTAGACTGTGTGACAGTTGGGCGCAGGCCAGGTGCCCTGATCAGTTCTTGGGCGTGCCTGTCGTTGTATTGTTCCCGCGAATGATACTTTAATTTGCAGCAGAGTGCAATTTCAAGTTTCAGTTGTCTGAATGTTGCTCTCTCTCTCTCTCTCGTGTGTGTGATCATCGAGACAATAAGTCCAAGCGCTGCGCGCCCGGGCATTCGCAGCACTGCTGGGTGGTGATTGACTCCTTTGGGGTTGGTCTGGGGCTCCTGCGGGAGTCTAGAACCGTTAGCCTCACGGCATTGACGTGAGGTTCGTTGCCAGTGTGACACAAGCAAAACAACTTACAGCAAACATAGCCTGCACCACATAGTTTGCATCTCAAGACATGCATCACACTGCTCGCAAGACATAGCTTCTACCGCAGATCTTGCACTTCTACCACAGATGTGGCACAACGTATATCGCACCACCTACGAAACACCTACAGAGTGTAGCCAACCACTGTTTGGGGACGACGCTTGCAAACTGATATGCAAATACACACATCATGTACACGTGGGATATACATGCACCAAAACATGCATGCACTGTAGATGCATATGTACAACATCAAGTGTACGTATGTGTGCGCTTCTGCCGAAATCTATCCGCCAACGTGCATCTGGCACGACGTGGGTTGTCCTTAGGCCCCTCGGACTCCTACGAAAGGGGCCCACAGCCCACAAAGGAGTGCAGAATCCTGCTGCTAAGATTCTTCAAGAAGCCCGCAGCGCTGAGCTCCAGGCAAAATCGGAAGACCCTGTGGCGTCCTCGCGTTTCTGTTACACAGGTCCGAGAGCGCCAAGACGGGCGAGCAGGGCCTCGAGAGATCGCCGAGACGGTCCAAGATGGCTCCGAGACAGCCCAAGGGCGCTCCAAGACGACCAAGATGGCCCCAAGACGGCCCAAGAGGCCCTCAAGACTTCCCGACGGCCCAAGAGGCCCTGAGACGCCCCAAGAGGCCCCGAGACGCCCCAAGAGGGCTCCAAGAGGACACCAAGAGGTACAACCCGTAGATAGTCAACAGGCTTGGGACAGACTTTCAAGTTCTCACCTTTTCGGGCCTTCAGCGCTCCAAGACTGCCCAAGAAGCCCCTAAGATAGCTCCATGACGGCCCAAGAGGTCGCAAAGAGTGCCCCAAGACGGCCCAAGAGGGCACAAGACGGCGCAAGAGGCCTCCAAGACGGCCCAAGAGGGCCCCAAGATGGGCGGCACGAACTGTCACTTCGAGTTCTCCACCTCACGATGGCCCCCAAGACCGCCAGCAGGCCCCGCCCCAAGACGTCCCTAGAGGCCCCCAGGTCCACAATAAGCCCCAAGTGGGTAAGACTGCCTCCAAGAGGTCTCTGAGATGCATACTAAGTGACCCTAACATGCATCTCAGAGGCCTCTGGCCCAGAACCCTGGCATGTAGGCGGGATGGGCCGGAGGCCACTATGCATGCGCAGATACGTGTGTACACACCCGTGCATACATAATACCTTTACACATACATGTATAGGTCAATTCAAGTAAAGATCTGTGTGTATCATGTTGCGTTGCATCCCGCTGCGTTACATTGCAAATGTGCATTCGACAAACGGTAAGTCCATTCTTGGGGCGACCGTGGCAGCTCCTTCCTTCGCCAACTTATCGTGACAGAGGGGTCCGTATTAATAATACGGCATTGTCATGAAGGGAAGGTCAATGTGGAAACAGTGGGCTGAATGACAAGCGCAATTGAATGTATGGCATGTGCGGGCGGCCAATCGCCACAAGCGTCCTTCTGTGACTTCTTACATTGCACCATTGCCGTGTGGCCTCGTGCCACGCAAGGATACCACCGGCTGTAATTATCGCAAGCGTGGGTGCGCCACACGACAGGAAAATGATGGCCGACTGGAGTTCAGGGTGAAGCTCGCGGGGGCCCCGCGCTGGAGACCCTCCTCCCCGACCAGATCCGCCAACAGTCAAAAAGACACCCACCCGCCGCCTGTGGCCGAGGGCACCAGGTGCAGCAGGCGCGTGTTGGGAACATGCTGGGCGTCCAGCCCTCTATCCGTCTGACTACCTACCAGACCACCCCAACCCAACCCGAAGACCCGAATTTGACTCGAATTTCGGGTTGGGGGGGGTACGGACACCATGTGTTTTTTCCACGTTCCCCGACCCCCCCCCCCACTGGAAATGGAGGGCAAATTGAGGCCTTCGGGTTGGGTTGGGGTGGTTTGGTAGGTGGTGACCGTCGGTCCTGTCGCCTCGTGCCTTGAGGCTCCGTCGCCGCCGGTGGAGGAAAACAAAGTGGTGGGGAACATGCTTGGCCGCGGCGCTCACTGCACGCAGCAGCATTTCTGGCCGTCCGACGCCTGGACCAAGGGGGCCTGCACCCTGGTCGCCACCTGTGGGCGCACGAAAACTCAGGCTGAGACGAAGCCAGGTCGAATGCTAAACTCAGGTGAAGATGCATCGAGAATCTCTGAGATCCGGCAGCTCTGCAGGATGTCTCAAGGCAGCTTCAGGACGCTGTGGGAGCGTGCCAGAGCGCTCTGGAACGGCTTTCTCCTCGACCTAGCACCGCCCGAACTGTATTCGTTCTCGCCAGCTGTTACTTCCAAAGTCCGTGCTTGTAATGACTCGGTCTCAGGGGCCCTGGATCTTCTGACGGCCCCGAGGCCCGGAGACGGCCTCCGTCCAGGGCGCCGAAGAAGGCGGAAGGCCTCTGGCGTGCTTCGTGTTCTGGCCGCCTCCGTCCAGGGCGCCGAAGAAGGCGGAAGGCCTCTGACGTGCTTCGTGTTCTGGCCGCGCTTGGGTCCCCCCTGAAGAAGAAGCGTGCAGAGGCCTCGATCCTCGCACCTGCATGGCCGACACCAGAGCCCCTGACTCCAGACACATTGCCACATCCTGGGGGCCCATGGGGAAGGAAGAGGAGGAGGAGGAGGAGGAGGAGGAGGAGGAGGAGGAGGAGGAGGAGGAGGAGGAGGGAAAGGAGGAGGAGGGGGAGGAGGAGGAGGAGGAGGAGGAGGAGCTGCCAGCTTCTGCCGAGCGGCTGCTGCCGGCGGTTTCCTCCGGCCCTCCGCCGAGGAGTGCGGGTCAGCTCTGTGATCCCTCCAAAGAGGAGCTTTTTTTCCTGGAGCGCCCCACTCGTGCACCCAATGCGCTGCGGGCAGTCTGCCTACGATTCTCTTGGCGACCACGGCGATGGCAACGCGTCGATGACGACGACGGCGACGACAACGCAGCCGCCGTCGACAACGCCGAAGAAGACCACGGCGTCGACGACGACAACGATGACGACGACGACGACGGCGGGAAGCCTTGCCCTCGCCGACGCCAGGGTGGCCGAGCAGGCGCGGGTCCGAGGACGTGCCCCAGGTCGCCTCGCCGTCGTCATCGGCGTCGACGTCAACGGCGTCGTCCTCGTCGTCGTCCTCGTCGTCGTCGTCGTCGCCATCGACGCCGCCATCGTCGTCGTCGTCGTCGTCCTCCTCCTCCTCCTCCTCCTCCTCCTCCTCCTACTCCTCGCCGTCGGCATCATCGTCGTCGTCGTCGGCCTCGTCGTCGGCATCATCGGCGTCTTCGTCGGCCTCATCGTCTTCCTCGTTCGCGTCCTCGTGCTTGTCGTCGTTGTTGTCGACATCGTCATCAGAGAAGCGAGACGAAGTGCCGTGGCGGTCTCGGGCAGCATCAAGGACGAGGTCTTCAGGTGGCACGTCTGCCGGATCTTGGGCAGTGAGTCCTGCTCGTCTTCGTCGTCATCCTCCTGTTCCTCGCATGCTCCACCACATACCCCCCGCCCGAGATTGTTTCTTGCTTCTTCCCCTTGTTACGTACATATGACAAATACGAAACTTGTGCCGAGCACGCATGTTACCTGCCCGCTGCCCGCTTCGCGCTCCGTCATCCAAGACTAATTTGAAATAGCCCATAGAAAAAAAAACACTTCAGAGCCAAAGCCTCGGCCAACCAGAAATGATCACAGTACGAAACCGTACCCACGCATGTAGCAGCAACTGCCAATCGCATGCGTACACGGTCGTAAAGTGTAGATGGCAAGCCTCCCACCAGTCTGCCCATCGCCCATCGCCTGTTCGAGACCAAGCATGTGCGCGCGAAATTTCAAGCGACTTTGTCTTCCATGGGAGAAGGGACCTGCCTCACACCGATCCCAATATCTGTGGTCTTCGATCGCGACGTTGGCAGCATGATCAACACCATAGTTGAATTCCCGCTCGTCCCATTCAATGAAGGGCATGGTGTTCAAGCGCAGGCGGACGTCAACGATTTCTCCATGAACCACCCAACACGAAGATAAGAAGGTTGCAATGTTGAGTTCTATTATCGAGCCGTGTCCTGAGCATACCCAATTGAACACTTCATCCTACCTGAGTCGTCACAGGACGATGCCAAGTATTCCAAAGCACTTGCCTCGGGCTTGCGGCAAGAGAACGGGTACGTCATGGCTCCCAGTATAGAGACGCATGCGCTTGAGCGGCGGGGCTGGAAATCGCCAGGAATCTCTGGCAACTCCCACAAGCAAGCCCGCTCAAGAAGCTCTAGTAACAATATCATCCATAACGCTGCGGCATGGCACTGGTGACGTCGAACCCTCCGTCTGGCTCGCCAGACAGCCACGAACACTGACTCCCAGCTGGTAGGCTGATGTCCATAACAACGACGCATAAGTCCCAACTTCCTCAGTTTGCTCTGAATGGTGATCGCTGTCAGTGCGTCTAACCAATACTCGTGTTTGCAGCCGTACACGAAACAACTTGGCCAATCACACTATTACCATATCCCGGGCCAAATCGTAATTATGCGGGCATGTTTCATCCATTGCTCGATGAAGCCTGCAGACCTCGTGTTGTAAGATGACGCGCCCCGTCCTGGCCACCGCCCTGACCGGAGTGCTTCACGTAGAAGTCCACGCTCCCAGCGCTGCGCAGCGCGAAGTGATGCAGATGCCCAATGCCACGTGTTCCCTCCTCCTCATCCACCCTCCTCCTTCTCCTCCTCCACGATGACGAAAAAAACCCGTCAGTACTCGAATCCTGGAGCTCTCCCGAAGGGGAAATCTGGACAGACCTTCGAGGCGGACCCGGTAATGGCGACAAGAGGCCTCCCAGAGTCCCAGACAGGGAGAAGAGCGGTCGAAGCCTTCGATCCCAGAACCTCGATCCCCGAGGAGGACGACGACGGCGGTGGCGGCGACGGCGGCAACGGCGACGGCGTCGACGGCGATGGGGCGACGGCGATGACGACGGCGGCGGCCATTACGACGACGTGCCGCGCGTCGGCGCGGTCCTTGTACGTGCGGCCGCGGCAGGGCAGCCCGAGCGCGTGGAAGCCCCAGCGGCCGCCGGCCTCTGCAGTGGGGCGGCATGGGGGGGGGGGGCATGGGGCACCACGAGCGACCGACGGCCCGCAGAAGGCCCCCAAAGGGCATTCCACCCCGCTGCCCTTCCTAATCCACCCCCTCCGCCTCCTCCTCCCGGCCACGCCGTGCAAGCATTGGGCCGGGGCCCGCGCCGTCCCCGCTGAAAGCTGCACTTGATAGCGGCCCTGGTTCGGTAGTGCAACAACAAGCTTGGAGTCCGAGACTCACCAATGACGATCATGAGATCTCCGGCGTCGATATGCGCGCCCTGACCAAGACCTGTCAATTCAATAGATCGGGGCGGAACGCCGACTCACCTTGATGTTGGAAGAGGGGGTCCACGGCCGACAGAGACTGCCGACGTGGTGCTCGAGCAACCCGCGGGCGCGGCAGCTGCACACGCGCCCTCGCCCGGCAGCGAGAAGTGGGCGACGGAACCACGAAGCCACACTGAGCGTGCTACCCTTAAGTCGGGCCTGCCCCCCTACAGGGGGATTGTCGACGAAACATCAAAAATACCCTAAACATAATTTTAAACAAATCACAAAATAGTCTGGGGACTATTTTTTTATATATTTTTTGACCTTTTGGGTGCATGTTTGGGGTATTTTTAATTTTTCGTCGAAAATCCCCCTGTAGGGGGACACGCCCGACATAATGCTACCCCAACGTGCTGAGCACACCCTCGCAGGGGATGCCTCGGGCACGCGGGGCGCAGGCTGGCATGGCGCGCCAGAGGCCAGGGACAGGAGCAAAGATTATGTCGGGCCTGTCCACCTACAGGGGGATTTTCGACGAAAAATAAAAAATGCGCCCAGAATAATCCAAGAATAATCCACAAATAGTCTGGGGACTATTTTTTGCCATTTTGGTGCATTTTTGAAGTATTTTTTTCTTCGTCGAAAATCACTCTGTAGGGGGACAGGCCCGACTTAAAGCAAAGGCCGTGGACGCCCCGGCCAGCGCCCAGGCGGTCGGGCGGACGGCTCGCAGCGTGGCCGTGGCTGTCCTCGGAGCCCGACCTGCCCAGCGCTCGGCGGCGAAGATGAGAGGGGGAAGAGCCCAGGGGCGGGCATTGCCTGCGCAGGACGAAAGATTTTCCCCCTGAGGTACGAATGGCGATGAGGAGTTCGCGAAGCGACGTCGGCGCCGCCGAACGGACGGTGACCGGACGAGTCGTCTGCAGCAGCCTGGAGGCGAGATACCGTGTGCACTCATGTTGAGTGGGGCCCGCGTGCGCGGAGAGTTGATGGGGAGGCTCGGAGACAGCGCAGGACCCCTCCTGGAACATGGGAAAAACAAAAAACAGAGACCCCCCCCAAAAAAACGAGCCAGCAGCGAGCCGCGCCACCTCGGGCAAAAAAAACGAGCCAGCAGCGAGCCGCGCCACCTCGGGGCGAGAGGCCACGCCGAGCTTTGGCCCCCCCGACCGCTCGGCGCCCTGCGGAAGTCGCGACGGCGGGCCTGCCTGGTGGCCCCTGGAAGCCCACGTCAGGGCCGGAGCCATCGGAACCGGCCCCAGGCGCGAGGCCAGGAGGAGGAGGAGGAGGAGGAGGAGGAGAAGGAGGAGGAGGAGGAGGAGGAGGGAGGAGGAGGAGGAGGAGGAGGAGGAGGAGGAGGAGGAGGAGGAGGAGGAGGAGGAGGACGGAGGAGGATCGAATCGCGGCATGGGATCGGATGGCTGACGGATCGCCCCGAATCGGATCCCAAAATCGGTCGCCGCTCCTGGCCCCGGCGGGTCCTTGCCGGTATAAAACGATCTCGAATCGAATCGAATCGAGATCGCGGGAGCAGGCCCGCAGATCGAGCCACATCGAATCGGATCGTTTGCCAACCTGCCAGAGGCGGGGGTGGGGTCGAGAAACTCCAGGGGCCACGTGTAAACCAATCATCGCGTGGGAGGTCTGGGTTTCTACAGTATCCTGGAGATGCGCGTCAGAAGCAGGCGGCTCCGCATCAGCCCTGGCCCAGATACCAGAGACCGAGTGCACCTGTGGCGTAGGAGCGGGAGGGTGCGCACGAGGCCATGAACGAACTCCCAGTTCAAGGTCGCACCAGTTCGGCTCGCTTCCCCTTCTGGTCCCCTGGAGAGAATACTCTGTGAGCTGCGCCAGGCGCACCAACTCCAGCCCAAGAATGACCGCTCGCATCTGTCTCCTCCGAGGGAAACGGGTCCTGGACCCCAGGGCCTTGGGACCATCATCCTGGACTGTTTCTTGACCGTCCAGGTGCCAGGCGAGGGCCCGGGAGGCCGGAAGACAGTGAAGCACAGGGTGAACTTGCTTCCCGGCGAACGCCTCCCCGTCCCCGACCCACCGCCTCCTCCTGTGCCCCCTGGCCTCCCGCGCGATCTTTGCGATGATCAGGCCGTTCTCGCGGCCCGCGTCGCGGAGGGCATACCGGCACAACTCCGAGCCGTCGGCCGCGTCGACGACCCGGCAGAAGGGCTCGGCGACCTGCTGGAAGGTCTTGTTCTGCGTGTAGATGTTGACCACGAACACGACCTGTTCCACGTTGGGGCCTATCTTGTCCAAGCGCACGTTGATCTGCTCATCGTCGCCTTCGCCCTCTCCCGTCAAGTTGTCGCCCGTATGCTCGATGCCGTGCTGCTCCGACTCCAGCCGGCCGAAGAAGACAGCCTCCAGGTCCAACCCCTCGGCGTCGAGCAGGATCGCCGACACGTCCAGGTCGCACTCGCCCTCGTCGACGTCCCAGCCCAGGCCAACGGTAATCTCACCCATGCCCATGGGGAGGTCTAGCACCGCACCCTTGCCGGGGTGGCGCCCACCCCGGGGCCAGCGCTAACCCGGGCCAACCAAGGCCGCGTCGCGAACCCGTGCCATCCGCACAGTAGCGGAAGCAAGGGATGGGAGGGAGGTCGGCCCCACCCGCCGGGAGGTGTCAACTCATAACCCCATAAATAGACCCCATTAGGCACTGGCCAACCCGATCCTGGGCCAGAATCGGTGAGGTGGTCAGGCCCTGACTGGGCTCGGTGTGGTCAAGTGACGTCCCCTGAACCTGGCCCCCAAGACGGCCAGGGTAAGCCAGAGGGAGAAAAACAACGCAAACACGATGTCGCTTCGACCGTCCCCCACAAACCAAAAAAACAACATTCAGGGGCAGTTTAAAAAAGTGATTCCGAACGCTCTAGTGCGCATTTAGAAAACAAGAGGAAGGGGACGCCCCCTCGACCGCCATCTTGAGGACATCTTGGGTATCTTGGAGCGCTATGTGGCTGTTTTGGATGCCTCTTGGACCGCTCTTGGAGCTCTCTTGGCGCCTTCTGGGGGCGTCTTCAGCTGCCCGGCGCGATCCCAGCGCGCTCCCGGGGCCCCGGGGGCACCCATGGCGCGTCCAGGGGCTGCCTGGGAGCCATCAGGCCTGCCCCCCGGCGTGTGTATATATACATATACACACAAGATTCCATTGGCGCTTCGCGCCTTGCGCTTTGTTCCGGACGCTTCCCTGGCAACGCAATCAGCCACCGCTTGCTTCAGGGACCTCGAGGCCTGGACGGGCGGCGGGCTCATTTTTCTGAGGTCCGTGGTGCCTGCTGACACCGCGTTCGCCCGATGCGCTTGCACGCTTGTGCGCAGGGCTTTCTTCACGCGCGAAGGTCCTTTGAGGAAGAAAGGATCGCCCCCATGACACGCCGAAGAAGTCGCAGTAGCTCCAGACAAATCGATTCCTGTCGCTTCCTGAATGCCTGGAGGGCTCCAGGTACTCAGGATATCTGCGATCGTCAAACTTCGAATCTAGATCTATTGCCTGTCTTCCTCGATCGAAGAATTTAAACCTCGAGCCTCAAGCGTGGAACCAAGATCGTCGGGTCAGCTCGATGTACTTCATAGGATAAAGCCGTCTGGGCGTTTTTGGGGCTCTTTTGGGCCGTCCTGGGGCGCTCTTGGGCCGTCCTGGGGTCTTCTTAGGCCGTCTTGGGGAGCTGGGGCCCTCTAGAAGTCTTCTGAAGCAATCTAGGACCCTCTTGGGGGCCTCCAGTGGCCTTCTTGGGGGGTCTCCCATGGCTTTCGTGGGTCTCTCTTGGGAGCCTTCTGGGGGCATCTTGGACTTCTTGTGGGCAGTCTCGGGGCTCTCTGGGGCAGCCGTGGGGCCCTCTTGGGCCGTCTTCAAGCCCTCTAGGGGGCCTCTTGGGCCGTCTTGGGGGGCGATATCGGGGGCCAATCGGGCCGTCTTGGACGCTGCGAAGAATCAAAAAGCGGAGATGCTAAACATATACACTTCCCAAAGAGAATTAGACGATTTTTGCTTCGTCGGGGCTCTCTTAACGGTCTCTTGGGGCGTCTTGGTGGCCTCTAGGGCCGTCTTCAGACCATCAAGGTTCCTCTTGGAGCGCTCTTGTGCTGTCTTGGGTCTCTCTTGCGCCTCTCTGATGACCCCTCTGATCGCACTGAGTCTGCTCGCAAGGTTCGGCAAGGCACCCTGGGAGGGCCGGAAGGGCCAGCGGACCTTTTCCAAGGGCGTCCAGGGGGCCGCCGAGACGTCCGAAAGGTCGTCCGGGGCGTCCCTGGGGGGGGGGACGGGTTTAGGGGTGGAGGGGGGTCGGGGGGGGTCCCGAGTGATAGAAATAAAAGAATATGAATATAGACATGTCTATATACAAGCAACATACATGCACGCATGTATCATTCACATCGTCCACGTCTCCGAGGAATCTTTTTCACAAGGAACAATTAAGCAAATGATTATTCGGCGGCGAATTCATGGCAGTCGGGATCCGGATGGGGGGGGTGAGGGGGGTCATCACTTGTTAACAGGTTTTGGACACTACTAGAGCGCATGTGTTAAATGTACGTCGATGCTGCGTGTTCTTGGCATACGAAATGGTTGAGCATTGTTGGTGTATGGTGTTGCTGCACGTTCTTGACATGTGCTCGTTATCGCTGTTACTGGTGCCTGGTATCGACGTATGCTTCCGATGTGCAAATGCTAGAGTGGGTTGTGGGAATACGCGACGGATGTATCTTAGTCGTCGTTGGTGTTTGTTTATTGTGTCTGATGCTAAAGAACTATTGCGCTGAGATGCGGTATTGGTGACCAGCATTGATATCTGTTCTGGACGAACGATATTAGAGCATGCTCCTGGTGTATGCTTCCGATGCCTTAGTGGTGACTGATATTGGCTCATGTTCGGTAGTACTGCTGTTGGTGTCTGTTATGGGTGACCGCTTGAAGTTCAAAGTGTTGGTGTATGGCATGGGCGTATGCCATTGGCGTACGTTGCTTGTGTATGGTGTTGGTGGCGCTTCGTGATGGATGGAATTGCTGTGCTGGTGCGTATGGCATGTGATTGCATGGCGGGTGATACTGCTGTGCACGATTGGTGTAAGTTGTTGGTGGTGGCGACCGGTACATAATATTGTTGTTCGGTCTTGGTGCTTGTGCTAGGCTGTTGTTGCTGATTCCTGTTATTGGTGTATGATATCGATGGTAATGAGGGGTACAGTTTCCGATGATATGCTGGGTGCCCGGTCCTAGTGTATGCCAGCGATACCTGATCTGGATGTACGTACAGGGTGTCTGATATTGACACCTAGTACTGACATCGGTGGAGCCTGCATGTGGTTAATACATGTTGTTGGTGTCTAACGTTCGTGGGACGTGTTAATGTGTCTACCTGGTGCATGTTTGGACGTGCGCTGTTTATGCATGTTCTAGGTGTCAGTGGATGGCGTGACGTAGTGACGCCTGGACGGCGCAACTCCGTGGTGGCGTTTTCTATTAGTTACGCCTTGCCTGAATGCTTGGCTATTGTGTCGTTACTGGATTCTCGGTAGTAGTCTTCGTGACCTGACGACTGCGGTATGCACGGCGGGCGGGGCGGGCTACCCAGGAACCGCGCAAAAGCCTTTGGACCTGGCGGTCGCGGTGTGCAGAGCGGGCGAGGTGGAACACCCAGGGACCGCCCGGAGTCTTGGGACCTGGCGGCGCGGGGAAGGCGCGCGGAATACCCAGGGACCACCTGGAGTCTTGGTGCCTGGCGGCCGCGGTAGGGCAGGCGAGGCGGGTCGGGAACATGTTCTGGAAGCTCTAGCAGCCCCTGGTAGGCTTGTTTCCCACCGCCACCACCATAAGTAGGAGGGGGAGGGGGTCCTCCTCCTCCTCCTCTTCTTCCTCCTCCTCCTCCTCCTCCCCCTCCTTCCCTCCTCCAACTTATGGTGGTGGTGGTGGAAAACAGGGGGGATGTTCGGAGGTCCGCGCGGATCTCCTGAATCGACACTGGGCCCCGCGCGACAGGAACGGCGCCAGAGGCGCGGCAAGGGGAACACCTTCGCAACATGATAGGTCAATGCTGTTTCTTCGTACTCTTCTTCTTCTTCTTAGTTCAATTAATAGATGTCTTCTTCTACTAATGGATGTTGTTTACAACGTGGCTTCCCATACGACTGGACCCCTTCCCTGGGAACTCGCTTTGCATCTCCGCTTTTTCATCCTGAATCGTTCTTGAATGGCCACGGGGTCTGGCACGAAAACGGCCAAACAACCTCCGTCGGTGATGCTGTCGCGACGCGAGGATGTCAGGGCCCAAACCACCCAGGGTCAGACAGAGGGGATCGGAGGACACTGGTAACCAGCCTCGAACTTACCCCTATCCCTAAGATGGGCGAACAAAAAGCGAGGACAATCTTAGGGATAGGCCCTCAGAAGCTGAGGGAATCCCTAAGATCGGCATCGAGGTGAGGGGATGCCAAACATAGGGATAAGGCTATGTTTCAAACTGGTGAACCGGCCGACCCCCGTCTCGGAGCGGGGCGAGCTGAGACACCGGCAGATGAAAACGGGCCCTCGGACCCGACCCCTCCTGGGGCCCACGCGCACCATTTTTGTCCGAGCTGCGCCACGCCGTGGCGACGAAGGGCCCCCCCCCGAAGGCCAACTGCTTGAGCAGGGACCGACCGTCCGGCATTCCTATAGTCATACCACGACATGTTCTTAGAACCCAGAAATGTTCTAATAACAAAAACCATGTTCTTAGAACATAACCCGAGGTGTTCAAACAAGACAGACTCCGCCAGAAATGTTCTAAGAACGTTTCGTGGAAACCACAAAAAGTTCTTAGAACATTGTTTGGTAGGGCTATAGGCACGCCGCGACGCTTCGCCACTGCTTGATCCTGGAGGTTTCTCAAAAAGAATCTGGACCAATTTCTGCCGCTAACGCCGGAGGGGCAAGCATGTCCGAGAAACTGGGCCATCTTTCCGACAAGCTGGTCAAGAAACGCTAGGCCAAACTTTTCGGGAGGAGGTTTCTGAATCATACCCTCGACTGTACCGCTGTCTCCCCTCGCCCTCCTCTGAGCGTCAGCGCCGAGCCCCGGTCACGCGTGCCGCCCTGGCCTGGCCTTCTCCATCGCGAACGCGACCTTCTGCCGCTGCGGCGCGCCAGGCACGAACGACCGCACGACCTGCGACAGGAGCGGCAAGATGTCCATGAAGTGCTGCCCGGCCTGCAGTCCGAGACCGGGACCTCCCACGCCGTGGCCAAAATCACGGCTCATGGCTTTTGCAGTGGTTTCGATCTCCAGGGGCCCTTCAAAAATTACTCGGGACGTCCACGAAGTGCCGCCCAGCCTGGGGGCGAGAGAAGGAGGAAAAACTGCATCAACGCATACTTTCGGAGGTCCGCGCGGGTTTCTTGGGTAGGCGTTGTGACCCCCCGGCAGCGCCTCTGGCGCCGCCATTGGCGCGCTAGGCGCGCCAGCGAAGACTGTCTAGCGCAAATCCAAGAAACCCGCGGGGACGTCCACAAGCGTTTGTTAATGTAATGTTTGTCCCCTCGAGAAGGCGCGCCCATAATTATATCGGCATCACCTTCCTCGGGCTCCCCATCACCGTCCCAAGGATGAAGGGGATGGGGCCCTCTTCTCCGACGTCTGCATCTCTCATACCTATGATATAACTACAGAACATAACGCGTCTGTCTGTCTGTCTGGCTGGCTGGCTGGCTGAATGGCTGGCTGTATGTATGTATGCCCGTATGCAGATGTGTATGTATGTATATATAAATATGTGTGTGTACATGTGTACGTATGTATTTATGTATGTAGGTGTGTAGGCAGACACGCACGCACGATCGTAAGTATGTGTGTATGTATGTGTACGCATAGGTGTATACATGTATGTTTGTATGGTTGTATGCATGCATGTATGTATGCATGCGTACCACTATGTACGCACATGTGTGTATGCATGCATGTACGTCTGTATGTATGTATGTATGTATGTATGTATGTATGTATGTATGTACGTATGTATATATGTATGTATGTATGTATGTATGTATGTATGCATGTATGTATGTATGTATGTATATATGTGTGTATGTATGTATGTAGTGTTGCATGCACGCACGTATGCATGCACGTATGTATGTATGCATGTATGTATGTATGTATGTATGTATGTACGTATGTATGTATGTGTGTATGGATGTGTGTATGTACGTATGTACGTACGTACGTACGTACGTACGTGTATGTATGTATGTGTGTATGTATGTATGTATGTATGTATGCATGCATGTGTGCATGTGTATATGCGTGCAGCCATGCGTGCATGCCTGTACATATGCGTGGATGTGCGTATGTGTAATCATGGATGCAGATATGTATGAATGTATGCATATATATAGATACTTATATACATGTTCACATGTGTATGGCTTTATGTGTATAGTTGTGTACTTATCGCATACGTGCATGTATGTATGCATCTATGCATATGAATGTGTGTACGTATATACGTCTGGACGTCTGTATGTGTATAGTCGAGTATGTGTATGGGTGTGTATGTATGTACGTATGCATGTAGGTATATACGCATGTATGTGTTTATGTGTGTATGTATGCATGCATCGGTGTATGCATGTAGGTATGTCTGTATGCAGGTACGATGCATGGAAAAGAGGGACAGGGGGTAGGAGGAGGAACACGCGGGGCATCTTCGCTTCAAACAAGGGGCCCACCACCACAAGATGGTTGCGAACAAACATTGAACAGCCTTCGGACAACAACAACAACAACAACAACAACAACAACAACAACAACAACAACAACAACAATGGTGGTTGCCTCTTGGGGCCCTCCTCGGGTGCGTCTGGGAACCTTCATGGGCCGCCTGGAAGCCTTCGTGGAGCGCCTTAGGAGCTTGGTGGGCCATCTGGAGGCGACCACGGGCGTCCGGGAATGAGGTCGGCGACTCTGAGGTGACTCGGTGCCTGTTTGGGATGTCCTGGAACTGTCTTAGGGCGGCCCTGGGGACCCTTGGGTAATGTGGGCGCCCCTGGGAGGGGGGGGGCTCCGAAACAGTTGTGGGGCGGTTGTTGGTGCTTCTGGGGCTGGTTTGGAGCGTCGGCGAGCGGAAACGGGGGGAGCCCATGGCGGATACAGCGACGCGAAAGCCCAGGAAAGGTACGCAACCCTCCTGCAGCAACGTTGTGATTCACGGGGGCTTCAATGCGGAGGTGGGCGTGCCTGACGAGGACGAGGACACCTGGGAAACTCTTAGGCGCCTCGGGCTTCACATCATGAATGTGCGCGGTCGTCTTGTGAAACGTTGGGCCACCGTGGGGAGACTCATTGTCGCAAATACTTGGTTCGACAAGCAATCCAAGGAACCATTTACTTTTGTGAGGACGGATGGGACACACAATCAACTCGGTCACACCTTGTCAGACCACTGGTTGATAAAAAGGAACTTGGCCCAATCATGTTCGAAACAACCACTGTACTTGAGGTCAGGTCGCGCATCCGTGTCCGCTGTGTTTCCGTGCGCGCGTGGGCCCCGCCCCCCAGAAGAAACGATATCCTAACGACAAGCATACCAGAACCAGACCATACGAGCCCGAGGCATACCGAGACAACGTTGACCCATCTCTGGATTTCAGCGCCACACATCATCTGGCTGCTGCGCCTTGACGGCCCGGAATCGTGCCAGAACGCCATTGTTGGGACTTCGACACAGCGAACCAACACAACTGTTGCACCCGCATCATCCTGAACCATTGGAGAACTTCATTTCTGGTACGTTGGTCATGGGAACCCGCGAAACTCTTGCAACAGTTCAAAGTGTATGTGCGCGGCGCGCAGGCGAAAGCCACATTTTGAAAACGACCCGCCCCTAATCCGTGAAACTCTTGCAAGTTTTGAAAACAAATGTGCGCGGCGCGATGGCGAGAGCCACATTTTTTTAAACGACCCGCCCTCAACATGAAAAACCCTTGTACACTTTGAAAACAAATGAGCGCGGCGCTCAAGCGAATCACATTTTGAAAACGACCCGCCCTCATTCCGTGAAACTCTTGCAAATGTTGAAGACGAGTGTACGCGGCGCGAAGGCGAGAACCACATTTTGAAAACGACACGCCCTCATTCCGTGAAACTCTTGCCAAGTTTGACAACCAATGTGCGCGGCGCGAAGGCGAGAACCACATTTTGAAAACTACCCGCCCTCCAATTGTGACACTGTTGTCACTGTTTAAGCTTCAGAACCATTAGTGGTAGGGAAAGCTCAAGCGAAACGCCCGACCCGCCTAAAAACTAGCCTCGGGGTGCGACAGGGAGGAGTCCTCTATAAGAAGAAGGAGTGGAGGAGGAAGAGAAGAAGGAGGAGGAGGAGAAGGAAGAGAAGGAGGAGGAGGAAGAGAAGGAGGAGGAGGAGGAGGGGGAAGAGAAGGAGGAGGAGGAAGAGAAGAAAGAGGCGGAGGAGAAAAAGGGGGAGGGGGAGGAGGATGAGGGGGAGGAGGGCGGCCGCGCTTTTCACTGGCGGGCGGGCGGAGCAGAGGGGGTGCTCGAGCGGGGGGGAGGTGTCACCTTGGAGCATCTGCTCGTAGTGTTGCTGTAGCACGCGATTGTCAGCGTGTGTCATGGCAGCACGTGCTAATACAATATGGTAGACGATGATAAGCTACGTGCTGAAGCCACACGTTATTGTGGCATGTGTTCGCATGCCCAATGCCACATGAAACTGCACACCATCACGCGCACGTAGTATGACAATATTTTGATTAGTGCACGCTGGTGTATGACTGGCTTTTGAGGTACATGATGATGCATCGCATGTATGTGCGAAGGCCAGCTGACCTTTTGCAAACATATGATGGTGCCAAGTAGGCTGCTGTAAACAGTGATGGTACACTACATGATGCAACAACATATGCTGGTTACACTATAATGCAAATGACGCTGTATAAATTCATTCCCTTTCCCAAGTTGGATGCCCGTGTACTTCGCCCAGCTTATAAAGGGAACATGTGGCAACGCCTGTTGTGTGTGGTCCGCACTGGCGGGTTGCCACATTTTTGGTGTTGGCCCTCCGTTCGGCGCCGTTTGAGGAGTGATCGAGTAATGATTGTTCGCCCCCATGGGCACGCGTTCAACAGAAGTCGCGACGATGTGGACAGAATAATGGTGAAGCCCGCCGCAGAAACCATGCCCGCGAGACTGTCATGAACGAGAGTCTCACAACGGCGTGCTCCAGGCCTTCATTTTGAAGCGCAAGCCAACGCCACCAACAGAAACGGCAGCAAGGGCGGAGTTGAGCAAACAAATAACACGAGAGTTCGGAAGAACAAAAAGATAGGAAGGAGAATGCATGCCATGTTGGAACAACTCAGAATATTGAAGTTCAGACCCAACATGTTACACTACGAATGCAATAGACAAACACGGACGACTAAAATCAGACCTGCACGCTGTGAGACACAATCCTGCTGACTGTATGAGGATCTATCTAATACGATTGGGCGGGCAAAAATGTGACAAAATGATAGGCAGGAACCCGATCCCTCCTTTCAAGATCGAGGAGATAAAGCAGGACATACATGCGCTTAAACGGGGCAAGGCGGACAACAGGGCTGGCATCAATGAGTCGAAAACGCACTGGTAAGCTTAGGTATGTGTTACGCTTCAAGCGTTGCCATATCCCAGGCTTTGGCTCATATCGCATGAGCAAGAGAGCGAGACGAAACATGGGATCTGGAGTAAAGGATAGAAGGGGCATCTTCAATGGAAAAGGTATTTTCCGATCTCAGATACAAGTCGTGCGCCTCGGTGAGGCACAGTCATATATTAGGCCGGGCCCGGCTTGAGCCAGGCGCGGCAGCGGTGCATGCTCGATTTATACCTCGCCTTTAACCTTCTCCGTTTAAAGTCGGAGGTGGAGGAGACGAGCAGGCACCGCACTTCTACATTACGCGGAAAAAACAGTGCTAAGCAGCAGCGGCTGCCTACAAGGCAAGGGCGCGCGAGTAGCCTCGCTACCGGCGAGTTTCCTCGCTACTAGAGCGCACCTGCATGCGGGTTTCCCCGCTAGCTCGGGAGGCAGGGCCGTCCTGAGACGACCTGCCCGCCCTATACGGAGTATGTTTCTTCAGCTCGTGCTTGAAGGATTGCTGGCCGGCCATTACATGTAGGAGCAACGCGCGGTCAATACTACCTTTGGTATGACCATCGGCAGTCATATCCCGCGTGTCACACCATTGAACGCTTTCAACGATTCCGCGCTCCATAATCTGGCGGATCCAGCTAATGTGCCCAAGCAGAGTACATTCTGTGGGCTTCTTCAGATCTTTGCTAGACAAAGACTTGAAGACAGACTCGGCATCAATAGTCAGAGTGACTTTGATACATAGACCACCCATTTCCAATATGTTCTTAAACTGTGTGGGGGTCAATGGTCCCGA